TCTTACCACAGTTGGTCCCGTTCTGTGGGCGACTTCTTGGGGTGGTCCGTGCTCAGCCCTGCTCGGTGCTTGGGTTTGGCTCTGCAACTGAGCTATCGCCACCTGTTGAGCTTGCAGCATTTCGAAGATCATACGCAGGCTGATCCCATCTTCTCCAATATTTTGGGTATTTCGAACTGCAGATCGGGTTCCACCATGAATGCTATTTTCGGGACCGAAATGTTGGTTTGCTTCTATGGCCACATGCGAATTAACATCAATTGGATCCACAGCCCGAGTCCCAACGGGGTCAACGAGTGGCCTTTCATCCCCGGGCGTCACGTTGTTATTCTCACCTTGATGGCCAGATTCGTTGTCGATATGTAGGGGCACTAATTGAGTGTTCGTCATTTTTAGCCTCAAATCAAAGATACTTCCAAGAGCAAATGTGAAATAGTGTGTTTTATAGAGATTTGCATCAAATAATCACTATTATCCTTGGCCCCACGGTGGGCACCAAACTGTTTATCCAAAAAAAATGGATAACAATTGAATTTATACGCGGCTCTAAGGATACGTGATATAACTTGATACAAATCGGGAAAATGTATAAATATATATCAGTACTATAATTAGCTACAAAAGAGACAAATGCAAACCAAATAAATCAATTAGCTTTTGCCTTTGAATCCAGTCACCTTCCAAACAAGTAAGGATTCAGCTGATGTAAGAACAGAGTAACAAGATAATCAAGCTTTCAAAGAAAGTAATGTGTTGTTTTTATTGCTTCTAGAATGTCCTGCAAAAGATCAAAACCCTTCTTTATATAGTGAAAAAGTCCTACTTTGTTTATAATTCTTAATACAGAAAGAATTTCATGATAGATTAATTAATAGGTCTTTCCTTGATATGCACCGGAATTTCCGCCGAGATTCTCACCCAAATTACGGATATACCGGATTTATTATTTTCTGGTTCGGTTTTGATCTTGACCGATCATGCACTTGATCGGTCTCTATTTTGCTCGGTCTCAATCTTGGCCGATCTTGATCTTGGTCGGTCTCTAGGTCACGAGCTCGGCAACCTAACTTCGCATCATAGCTCGATATTACACGAAGTTGAATCTTGATCTATCATGTTCCAGTCTCGATTAATCATATGAAGGGCAAGCTCGATTTTGACCGTATACAGCAGTATAAATTTCAACTAATGAACACATTAAATACTAAATGAATAAAATTGCATATTTTAAGAAACAAGAGGTTGTGAGTTCGAGTCACCCAAGAGTAAGGTGGGGAGTTCTTGGAGGGAGGGAGCCGAGGGTTTATCGAAAACAGCCTCTCTACCCCAGGGTAGGGGTAAGGTCTGCGTACACACTACCCTCCCGAGATCTCACTAGTGGGATTATACTGGATTGTTGTTGTAAGAAATAACTAGAGCTTATGTCGAGTAATTGAGGAGTGATGAGGTGAACCAAGACCGCCAAATGATCTCCACATATGGATTAAATCCTTTCGTCGTTAATTAGATGTCTTCAATCAAAGCATTGAAAATGAAAAAAAAGATTGTTTAAAAAACGTTTCCCTTTAAATAGTTTATGCCGGGCGAATTTGAATTGGTCGGATTAATGAATTCAAATATCATATGGTATTAAACCCAAAAAAAAGGTGAATCAAGTGATAAGGTCTCGTCGGGCAGGGTTGAGGACTTGCTCCCTCGATAAGCTAGTTTGCTTTCGCAAAAATGGAGTGTTCAAACTCTATCAGTTCTCTTTCCTTTCCCCTACGGCCCGTTCCGACCCGACCCGATGTAATAAATAAAAAACATTTAAAATAGGTCTCGTCAGGTAGGCGTAACGGTCCTCATATGGCTTTTCTAATGTATTTTCTGTAAGTTATATATGCACATTTTGTTTTTTTATATTTCAGGACTATTGACATTTGGCTTTACTGCAGCCAGCCACTTGTAGCATACCCATGTGCCTAAATTGTTGAATGCAGGCGCGGCATAACCATTGGCTCCTTTCACAGTCCAATTATGTGGGACCCCTACTGTTAGATTAAAGCATATAGTAGTAGGGGTGTTCATGGTTCGTTTGGATCGGATTTTCCCTAAAAAGAAACCTAACCAAGTAAGTCGATTTTTCAAATATTAGAATCAAACCAAACCAATTAAGTTGATTTTTTATCGATTCGGTTTTTGTCGGTTTTTCGGTGTTTTCGGTTATTTATCAGTTTTTTCTTAAATATGAGACATACACTACCAAACGCATATTTCGGCGACTACATTTTCAACGTAACACTATCAAACTAATTGCTCTTTGAGAAATATATCATTTTCCAAGATATATTGATGATAATTGACTCAAATAGTGATGAATAATTTAAGTACTCAATTAAAAATCGATTATTTTTAACATGAAATAAATTCTTGTACTTAGGCAAAAGAAAACTACCAATCAAACTAGAAGGCAAAAAATTAGATTATTATAATAGCAAAGAACTAGACTAAAAATACAAATGACTAATATATACCATAAAATTTCAGAAACTTTATATAAAAATATACATATATATATATATATATAGGTGTAATAATAAATTTATATAGCTACTTTTATAGTCGGTTTGGTTCGATTTTTTCAGTTATTTTTTTATTAAAACCAAAACCAAACCAAATTTGATCAATTTTTAAAATTTAAAACCAAAACCAAATCAAACCTAAAAAGTATCGGGTTTTTTAGTCGGTTTGGATCGATTTTCGATTTGGTTCGATTTTTCGGGTTTTTATGAACACCCCTATATAGTAGAATCTAAAATTTCTTTCTTTTTCTTTTACTCTTTTTGTTTATATTTCTCTTTAAATTTATAAACTGATGGAATAACTTATTCTTTTGTTTCAGACCGGAACTCACTTTAAGAGCCGATTAATTCGAATTCACATCGAAAAGTTATACCATTCAGGGGTAAAATACTTCTTCGAAAGGAGACTTAATATTTAAAATTTGAACCCGAGTAAGTGTGCAAGTGATTAAAACTCTGCATGGAGCTAAATAAGTTTTTGTATTGAGCTTGTAAAATTAGATTTTCATGTCAGTGTCAAGGTCTTTTATTCCTAAACAAGATGTAGTGTTAGGTGTGATTGGTGATATTGTTGGATTTTTATATAATTAATTAATAGATAGCGATAGCCCGTGCCAACGAGGGCCTAATAGCGCAGAAACTGAAACTATCTTCTTTTACATAAAATAAAATTGCAGATATAAAAATTGACGCATGAAAATGACCCATACCATGTATGACCATGCAAGTCCTGATGATACAATAATAAGTAGAAGAATACTTTACTGCTTAGGCTTCTCAAATCTGCATCATCAAAATATTTTACATATTGAGCTGAAGCTGCAAAGTTCAGTAAAAGTTCAGACAACTCCTTGTCATGCTTATAGTTCCAGGTGAAATCATTATCTCCTTGGGTAAATACTCCACAAAATTTGTATTTGTTACTCTTTTTAATTTCTCTGTCACTTATGTCTTCTCTGACTTCATATTTATGTTGATGTGTTACTAACCTAATAATAACTTTAGAATATTCTTTTTAACAATAATATAGGAATAATTTTGTATTTTCTTCGGTTTAAGATATCTAAAGCTCTCTAAGTCTGTTTATTTAAATAAGAGTGTGATATTGTAATCAATTTGACGTTTTTCCTTGTAAAATGCAGGGAAGTTTTTTTACCTTTTCAGTTAAGGTGAATCAATTTTTAAATGTTGATTTTTAACAGTAACACATTTTAAATAAACAACAACATCACATCAGGCTCTTGCTACACACTTTTTTGCACGGATTATGCATCAGCATAAATAATTTTGTGATTTTGTCACCCATCAGAATTACTCTCTTAATTAGTTGACTTATGGAAATATCATATGTGCCAATATAGATTTTATGATAACATTAGGGATATCTTCAAAGTAACATATTAGAAAAATGTAAGAAATAGGAAAAACTAATGACAATGCAGGTGAAAGAACCACCAAAATATCCAAAAGAAGAAGAAAACCAAGAGATATCTATCAAAATTCCATCACCTATAAATGGGTAAAACAAAGAAAGGAAGAAGGAGAAAGAAAGAAAAATCAGCACAAAACACAGGTACGACAGAGGCCAAAAATACAAAGAGGAAAACTGCAAAAACCAAGAAATGTGTAAAACAAAGGAAGAAAAGGAGAGAAAAACTTAGCACAACTCACAAGTACAATGGCTTCATACTATCAGTAGATACCACCACTGATGGCAACGCCACAACATTGTCTTCCTACACCCCCTTCCACAACTATGAATGTGTGAGTTCATGTTTCGTCAGATCTTCAGTTATAATCTACAACAGTTAAGTGATATAGGAAACAACTTTCCGATTGTCAGAAATCAAATAAACAACTTTATGTGTTGCTAGTCAGATCCGATGAATGATTTTAAAGATTGACTCATCAAGAATATGGGACTCTATAGAATACTTAGAGCCCAATTGACTATACTATCCACTTAATGATTTCTAACATGAATCAAACTAATTCAAGGGTAGAATTTGTATTAATGCTAGCCTTTGAATTTAGCGTTCCTTATATATCGTAGTATCAATCAAAATATGGTCGAAAGATAAAATCACTATTTGATAGAGTTTCTTCCTAAACCTATGAATTTTATTGGACCTTGACCCCCAAGAACAAAAAATTCAGAGGAAGAGTTAAAACTTATAGTAGCAATAAGAGAGTAAAATCTAAGTACAAAAGAGAAAACTTTTTATCACAACGTTGGAGTTTTATATCTGGTGAAATAAAGGCAGTGAATGCTTACAGGCTACAACAAATAATAATCCTTCTTTCATAATCCTATGCGGAATGAAGACCAGAAATGAGAAATTGATGACAAGGGTAGGGTTACTGTTAAAGAGGCACATCCATTGGAGAAGCAGAGATGGATCGAACAGAGGACGAAGAAGAGAGAAAGAGAGCTGCCTTTAAAAAATGTCGAATATTATTCATCAACATGTACTGTACATGTATATATATACTATCACTAACTACTAACTCCTTAACAATAAAATAATAGCTGTTGATAGTTATACACTAACCCACTAACTAACTTCTAACAATCCAAGTAACTCTACAATGTATATACTTCTCAACACTCCCCCTCAAGCTAAGGGATAGAAGAGGTTCTTCATTCCCAGCTTGCTAATCAAATACTCATGTTGTGGTTTGCATAGACTCTTGGTAAGCAGATCAACATGCTGTTCCTTAATCCCAATATGTTGAGTTTGAATTTGACCACCGTGAATTGTTTTCCTTACAAAGTGACAATCAATGTCAAAGTGTTTTGTCCTCTCATGAAATATAGGGTGTGCTGCAATCTGTATAGCAACTTTGCTATCACAGAACAACTACACAGGAGTGTTCACTGTAACTCCTACCTCTCCGAACAAGCCAACTAGCTAAGTGACTTCAACAACAGTAGATGCCATCCTTCTGAATTCTAATTCAGCAGATTTTCTAGAAACTATGCTTTGTTTCTTGGATTTTCAAGAGATTAAAGCTCTACTAAACTTAACTATATAGCCAGTGATAGACTTCCTTGTCCCCACACATGAGCCCTAATCTTAATCACAGTAGGCAACTAATTGCTTATTTTCTTTTGCTGGCATAAACAGTCCTAGTCCTGCAGTTCCCTTGACATACTTGACAACTCGTGTAGCTGCTTCCATATGTGACTACTTGGGAGCATGCATGTGCTGGCTAAGTACTTGAACAACAAAGGCAATATCTGACCTTGTCATTGTCAAGTATAGCAATCTGCCTACCAACCTCTGATAGCTACCTAGATCCTCAAGGTGTGCATCTATAGAGGCTTCTCCTTTGTTCACAAATTTGTCAAATACTACTAAGGTGAGTTTGTGATTGAATTCAAGAGGTGTAGGAATAGGCTTTCCACCAGCTAATTCTAGCTCATATACTAACTCAAGACCATATTTCCTTTGGTTCATAAGGATTCATTCTTTTGATCTGGAAAACTCAATTCCCAGAAAGAATTTTTATTCTCCCAAGTCCTTCATTTTGAACTTAGATTGCAAATTTGTCTTTACCTGATGAATAAGCTCCAAATTATTCCCAGTAACCAGAAGATCATCAACATATACCAGAATTACTACCAGATCACCATCTACCCTTTGTGTGAAAAGAGAGTAATCATAATGAGACTGTACAAATCCCATATCCTTCAAAGCAGAAGTCAACTTTAGGCTCCACTATCTAGAAGGCTACTTGAGTCCATACAAGGACTTATGCAGTCTACATAACTTCTGATGATGACACTCCCCATGGCTGGAAAAGCCATCTGGGATCTGCACATAGAACTCTTCAAGGAGATCTCATTGAAGAAAGGCATTGTGCACATCTATTTGGAAGATAAACCAGCCAGATGCTGCAGCCAAAGCCACTACAAACCTCACTGTGACAATTTTGACCACATAAGAGAAAGTCTCTTTGTAATCCAGAACTTCAAGATGACTATACCCCTTAGCAACCAGTCGAGCCTTATACCTCTCCAATAGACTTATATTCAATCTTGAATACCCACTTGCAATCAATAGGATCCTTGTGAGGAGGCAGGTCTACAATGGACCAGGTCTGATTCTCCTCAAGAGCAGCAATCTCAGCCTGCATGGCTTCTGTCCACTTAGGATCAGTACTTTCCTAAGCATAAGTAGTAGGCTCAGACATAACTGAGTAAGCAGCAAGACAAGCCTGATAAGCAGAAGACAACTTATCGGAGCAAATATACTGGAAAATTGAGTAGTTACAGGCTGCTCATTTAGAAGATACAATATAATCCTTCAACCATATAGGAGGAGCAGAAGCCCTAGATGATTTCCTAAAAGGAGGCGGATCAGAAGTATTGGAGGAACTGGACTGCAAATGATGATCAAGAACAGGCTGACTAGGTCCATCAGGCTAGCTAGAAACAGAAGAAGGTGACTAAGTTGTAGTGTTCCCAGGAGTAGTAATGCAATTGACAGAAGATCAATCAACTTCTGAAAGATCCAAAATAGGAAATAAAGGAGAAGAACTGGATGTAACATTCTTGAAGGGAAAGACATCCTCCTTGAAGACAGTGTCCCTGCTTACAAAGAACAGTTTAGAGTGAAGATCATACAAGATGTATCATTTTTTCATAGAGTAGTAGGCTAAATGTACAACATGAATGGCCTTGGGACTGAATTTGTCTGCTTTTCTGGCTGAGGTGGAATTGCACAGGCTACCAAAGATCCTCAAGTGCTGAAGAGAAGGAACCTTGTTATAGAGCTTCTCAAAATGAGAGGTTCCCTTCAACAAGACTATAGGCAGTCTATTTAGAAGATAGACTGTTGTAGAAACACACTCACCCCGGAACTGTAGTGGAACAAAGGCTTGAAACCTCAAGGCTCTTGCCATATTAAGGATGGACCTGTGTTTTCTCTCAACCTTACTATTATGTTGAGGTGTATATACACAGGAACTCTGATGAATAATTCCATGTTGCACCAAGAAACTGTTGACCTGCTCATTGAAGAACTCAATACCATTGTCAGACATGAGACACTTAAACTTGTAATCAAATTGAGTCTGAACTAGTGTTAAAACCATTTTTAACACAATAGTAGATTCTGCTTTAGTGTTCATTAAGAAAAGCCAGGTGTACTTGGAGAAATCATCTACCAATGTCATAAAATATCTCTTACCATCATAAGTTGGGACCCTATATGGTTCCCAGACATCAACATGCACAAGTTCAAAAGGATGAGCAGAACAAGAAGTACTATGAGGAAATGGAAGTCTAGATTGCTTAGCAATAAGACACACTGTACAATGGTGATCTTGAATAGGTACATGAGGTAAACTATTATTCTTTTGTAGAACTTTCATAGGTGCATGCCAGAGTCTCTTGTGCCACAAAGACATAATACAATTCTCAGTAGACCTAGTATGAACTGCCTTATTGTTACTAGAACTAGAGACAGTATTTACAAAAGATACTAAATTGGTACTTTGCTTTGCATCCTACAGTTGCAATGAGTCCTTAGAGACATCTGGCTTCAAGATGTAGAGCCCACACACTTCCTTACCAATCCCCATTACCTTCCCACTCAAGAGGTCCTGAAAAAGATAAAAATCAGGAAAAAATGCAACAAGGCATCTCAGCTTCTTTGTAAGCTTTGAGACTGATAGCAAGTTGTATTTGAAGTCTGAATGTATAAGACATTGTGTAATGATTTATTTTTTAAGATTTCGGAAACACGAGTATGACTTATAGCAATTTGCTCACCATTAGGGAGATGAACCTTATTTCTCTCTATATTAGTCAGATCCTTGATTTCACTTAGTAGCTTGGAATTACGTACCATATAATTGGAGGCCCTGTGTCTACTATTCAGTTACCAATAACTATATGAGACATGAAGTTGTTATAGTACCTGTGTTGTTCATAGTTGCTGCATTTGCCATAGATTCTACCTGGTTTCCTTTGCTCAGCATTTGTAGGATCTGATTATATTGTTCTTGAGTAAAAACTGGAGCAGGGGAGGAGAATTGAGGAATAGGTTGAGAAGAATCAGGAGTTTGAAACCATGGGGCAGTGGATGCATTGTTCATATGAGGACCTGAATAACCTCTTCTCTTGGCCTTGAAATTAGCAGGATATCCATGAAGCTTATAGCAAGTGTATTTGGTATGACCTTTCAGGTGACAGTAGTCACATTGTAGTGTAGACCTCCCAAGGTTGTTTCTAGGTTTGAGACTACTATTTCCATTCCCAGAGTTAGCCTTACTCATCAGTGCTGCAGAATCACCAATGCCAACACTCAGACCCGTATTGTTTTTCCTTTGACTTTCAACATTAACTACCATAGAATAGGCTTGATTGACATTTGGAAGTGGTCGAATCATAAGAATCTGATCTTTAGCATTATCAAAGGAGTCATTTATACCATTCAAAAATTGATACAATTTTTGTAGTTGATAGTATTCTGCATGCTGCTTGGATTCATGGCATCCATATGAGGGAGGAGGAGCTAAGGCTTCATATTCATCCCATAACTCCCTAAGATTTGATAAATATTTAGATACAGTTAGCAGGTTTTGAGTCAGCTTTCAATTTTCTTGTGAAGTTAGAATGATCTAGAATCATTCACTTTATCAAATCTCTCACGAAGATCTTCCCAGACCTTGTGTGCATTAGAGGCATAGATCATAATACTTAGTAAATTAGGAGCAACTGTGTTCATTATCCATGCCATAACAATAGCATTACATCGATCCTAGAGTTCATGAAGAGCCGCATCATATAGATCATTCCTACATGTTCCTGGCACAAAACCTAACTTGTTTTTTCCATGCAACACAATTTTTATAGATCTACTCCAAAGAAAATAGTTTTTCGAACCTCGAAGTTGAATTGAGATAAGAACATCACCTTGAGTATCATAAAGATGAATATACAAAGGATTATTGTGATGAGCTAAGTCGAGATTCTGAGTATCTGATGGTGGCAATATAACAATAGTCGAAGCAGATTCATTTTCATTAATTGCAATAGTAACTTCGTAGATTTGTAAATTGAAGAAAATTACTTACTCAAATTGTTGCAGGAATTCAGAAAAGTTGTTGAATTTTCTCAAAATCAGCAAACCCTAGCATGAAGAAGAAGTTGTATCTTCAACTGTAATTTAAAGCAAGTTCTGGATTCGAACAACTCAATTGTACTTTCTCCTCACTCGTCTGCCATTGTTGAACTCGCCGGAGTTGAACCGAGCTTTGATACCATGTTAAAGAGGCACAACCATTGGAAAATCATAGATGAAATAGAGGAGGAAGAAGAGAGAAAGGGAGTTGCCTTTAAGAAATATCGAATCTTATTCATCATCATGTACTGTACAAGTATATATATACATACTATCACTAACTACTAACTCCTTAACAATAAAATAACAGTTGTTGACAACTGTACACTAATCCACTAACTAACTTCTAACAGTCCAACTAACTCTAAAATATATATACTTCTCAACAGTTACTGCAGAAAAAGAATAACGGGAATCAAACTGAAGAAGATTACCTGAGCTAAAACCTAGTAATTGAAGCCTTTATGTAGATGATGCAAAAACTCGAATCGTGTTCCTATTATTCAGACACAGATAAATAAAATCAATAGTAGTTTACCGTGATAGAGCCATGAAAGAGCAGAAGAGAGGAGAAGAAATTGAAAAAAGGAACATTGGAAGAGAACCGGAGAAGATAAAGAACTCCAAACTTTATTAAGCAGTGAGGCTATACCCAAAATTTTCTTATTCTTAAGTAGGCTTATCAACAAGATCAGTGTCAATATCGGGCCGAGATAGATAAGCATTTAGGCTCTAAAAAAGAGAAAATCAACAATGGAAAATTATTAAGCTTCTGGTAAAAGGGAAAAAAGAGAGATAAAGCGAGATACAAAAGATGAAATTTGAGGTTGAAGATGAATTGAACAGCAAAACTAAAAAGGATGGAGAGAACTCAAAAAGAAAAGAATTAAGGAAAAATAAGAAGATATGTGCAAAATTAATTGTAGCAAGAACACAAACAGATCTTGAGAGCAAGAAGAAGACGGTAGAAGCAGAAGGTAGGGTTTGAGGAAACTTCCAGCGACAAGTATATAAATAGATACTTGAAAGGACTAAAATTCCCTCAAAAATAAAAAGTTAATGACTTTAAACAGCTATGTCGAAAATTTGCTCTTCTATATTATAGAAATGAGAGGGGTAAATGAGAAATGGAGGAAAATGAATAGTTTAAAGTGTTTCCTTTACTAATGCACTTTGTCCCTCATAAAAAAATGAAAAGAAAATCTTTGTACTTATATAGAGAAGCACATCTTCTAGCTCTTAAAGAGTTGAGAAGAAATGGTGTCTCGCGCTGTTGTCGTCGCTTGGCTTCGGCTTTGGTCAATTGATTTGATTGATAATTTTTTGGATCAAATTTATTTTCCGTTTTTCGTTATTTATTTTCTTTTTCCAGATATACGGTCCCAACTGTAATTTTTGAATTTAAATTCAGAGGCTTGGCCTCTATCACGATCCAAAATCCACTATCGGCCGTGATGGTGCCCAACGTCACCGTTAGGCAAGACAACAGTGAACTACCAACTTAATTATTCATTTTATTATTTTTGAAATCATGAATCCCATTAAATAATAGAGTGAAATATGAAACTCATAGAAATATGTGCTATTCTTTACAAATTCCCGAATATAAATAAATCATAGAGTGAAATTATAGTAATAAAGTGAACTACAATAGTGAACATCCATCGGGAACTCCCAAAATCCGGTGTCACAAGTGCATGGGCATCTACTAGAAGATACAATAATAATACAACATTTGTCTGGAAAACAAGATAGACAAGATAATGTAAATAGTTATGATGGAGACCCCGTATGTTGCGGTTCGTAACAAGGGAAGCAGCTCACCGTAAAGTCCCCACAATAGTTGTACCTTTACGCCCAAAAGACCACTAGAAATATATATACATGCACAATAAGTGCAGAAGTGTGGCCTGAATACGTAAATCATGGCGTACCCAGTAAGTATCTGCCTAACCCCGGAGAAGTAGTGACGAGGGTCGACATCAACGCTTACTAGTGTCCAATAAATCAAGTAAAGTAGAAAGTAAACAAGTATAAAACATGGTAATTAAACAGTGAAAACAAGTATAGGAACAATGATGCGATCCTCCTCTGAACAGTAAACACAAGTCCTCAAATATCGGTTACCTCCCCAAATGATGTCTATATAATATGGTCCCCACCAGATAGGTCATCACAACTCAAGTCAGGTGTAACGACCCGGCCGACCGTTTTGAGAGTAATAACCCCTATTCCCTATTTACTATTTTTTTTCGTATCTTTTTCTACTTATGTGACTTGCCGGGAGGTTTTGTTTGTGGTTTCGGAGTGAATTGGAACACTTAGTCACTAAAATGGAAGCTTAAGTCTTAAGATTTTAACTGTAGTTGAAATTGTATGAAGACGACTCCAGAATAGAGTTTCGTCGGTTCTGTTAGCTCCGTTGGGTGATTTTGGACTTAGGGGCGTGTCCGGTTTGTGTTTTGGAGGTCGGTAGCTGATTTAGGCTAGAATTGGCGAAAGTTAAATTTTTGGAGATTTTGGGCCGGTAGTGGACTTTTAAATATCGGGGTCAGATTTTAATTCCGGAAGTTGAAGTAGGTCCGTAATATTGAATATGACTTGTGTGTAAAATTTGAGGTTAATCGGACGTGATTTGATAGGTTTCGGTATCGATTGTAGAAATTTAAAGTTTCAAGTTCATTAAGTTTGAATTAGAGGGTGATTCATGTTTTTAGCATTGTTTGATGTGATTTGAGGGCTCGACTAAGTTTGTATGGTATTTTAGGATTTGTTGGTATATTTGGTTGAGGTACCGGGGGCCTCGGGTGTGTTTCGGATGCTTAACGGATTGAATTTGGACTTAGGCAAATGGCTAAATCTTCTGGTTTCTGGTATTTTTGCACATGCGGTGGGGAAACCGCAGGTGCGGGATCGCACGTGCGGAGTGAAGGGCACAGGTGCACTGTTGGTCAAGAAGGCCTGTGAGCGCATGTGTGGAAGTCAAGCAGCAGGAGCGGGCTCGCAGGTTCGGCCCAAAGCTCGCAGATGCGATCCTAGCCATTTAAGCCATTTTCGCACTTGCGATGAGTTTTCCGCAGGTGTGGTACCGCAGGTACAGTTGAAGGCTCGCAGAAGCGAGTTTGCTGGACAGAAAATAGGATTTCAAGGGTTGATTTCTCATTTCGATTTTGGGACTTTGAGAACTCGGATTGGGTGATTATTTGAGGGGTTTTCAGAGAAAACTTTTGGGTAATGATTCTTAACTCATTTATGGTTATATTCCACTAATTTATGGTTGATTTCATCATTTAATTTCGGATTTGTGTTTAAATTTTTGGGAAAATGGGAAGATGTTCTTCAACTAAGATTTTGGGTTTTGATTGAGATTTTGACATCGGATTTGGATAATTTTGGTACGAGTGAACTCATGAGGGAATGAGTGTTCATATTTTGTGACTTTTACTTGATTTCGAGACGTGGGACAGGGTCGACTTTTTAGGACGGATTTCAGAATTTTTGTTAAAGTCTTGATTTCATTAATTAGATTAGTTTATTATGGTTATATTTATGACATGTAATTATTTTTTGGCTAGATTTGGGCCATTCAGAGTCAAAAATTCGTGGAAAAGGCATTGTTACTGATTGATTGAGATTGGTTCGAGGTAAGTGTCTTGCCTAACCTTGTGTGGGAGAAATACCCTTAGGATTTGGTACTGTCGTGATATGTGAGCGCCGTGTACGTGAGGTAACGAGTACGTACACGGGCTATTTGTTGTAAAACCAGATTTATTTTACTAGTAGCAACCTGTTTTTCCTTTAATTTGAGTTATACCATTTAAATGAGTATTAGTCTGTTTTCATTCTTATTTGACCTATTCCAACATGTGTAGTTATCCTGTTTAGTCTAATATCGCATGTCTACGTGCTTTAACTGCTTATTTGAACTCTGTGAAGCATGCCTAGTTGATTTCCTGCTTTTCCTTGCTCTTTATCGGTCTTTACTGTAGAATTCTTGTTGTTAACTATGGTATTTATCGGTTGAGCTGTGTGTTTACTTTTGAGACTACGAGGCAGTTCCTCGGGAATTCTCCCTGCATATTTACTTTTGAGACAGATCCAGGTGCTTCTTATCAGCTCTGCTACTAGCTGAGAGTGCTTGCTATTGTACAGAGACTTCAAGGTACATCTGCCGCATCCGCAGACCTCGGAGTCCCCCTCTATTTTCTCCTATGCCATTTACCTTCCGTACTTCTTTTGTTAGACTCTAATGTACAGATATACTAGTTCCCTTCTGTTGCTTGTGACTTATGATGGTCCGAGTTTTGGGAAAATGGTGTATTTATAGAGTATTGGTTATTATACATGCCGAGTGGCATTGTTACTAGTTATTCAGTTATCCACTGCCTTTAGTTGCCAAGTTTTATTTTCGCTTTGTTATTTTCCGCAATTTGTTAGGCTTACCTAGTCGTAGAAACTAGGTGCTATCACGATGTTATACGGAGGGAGTTTGGGGTCGTGACAAATTGGTATCATTGCTCTAGGTTCATAGGTGTCGTGAGTCACATGCTGGTTTATTAGAGTCTCGCGGATCGATATGGAGACGTCTGTACTTATCTTCGGAAGGCTATGGAACTGTTAGGAAAAACTTATACTTCTTTGATTCCTTGTCGTGCAAAATTTGTTGACATAAAAAATTATAAACTTCTATATTCTATTCTCTCACAGATGGTGAGGACACGTACATGCGGATCTGATGACCAGGCACCCGTGCCCCCTGCTAGAGTCGCGTGAGGCCGGGGACGGGGTAGAGGCCCAGGAAGTCCACGCGGTGCAGCTAGAGGGAAGGAACCTGAGGTGCCTTTTGCTGCACCAGCTCTCCAGGAGACTCTAGCCCAGTTTCTGAGCATGTTCAGCACCTTAGCTCAGGTCGGATTAATCCTACTTGCTCCTGCCATATCTCAGGCCGGGGGAGGAGCAAAGACTCCCGTCGCCGGTACTCCAAAGCAGCGGGATCAGGTCGACCAGGC